GGAGCAGGACATGGTGGGGAGAGAAAGGGAAATGGAAAGGGGGGTGCACCAAGAGAGAGGGGGGAGAGAGAGAGTGTAAGAGAGAAAGAGAGAGACCACATGTCGGGGTTAGCCCTTTAGGGGTCAAGGTAACCACACCTTCCAGGTGTGGCCACCTGGCTGGCGACACATGATGACATCATAAGTTGCTGGGTAACCCGGGAGCAGGTTGTGTTCCAAAATACTAACATACATTCCATTGTCTTTAAAGATTCTCAAGCCTCCATCCTTTAGACCTCTTTCCTTATAGTCTCCTTTCTATTTTTGTCACACACACACACACACACACACACACACACACACACACACAGGAATTTAAATGTTGTTTTACATGGAATGTTTGTCTTAGTATAATGATTTCCAGGTTCTATCCACTTTTCTGCAAATTTCATTCTTTAAAAAAATTATTGTGTGTGTGTGTATGTGTGTGTGTGCGTGCTTGTGCATGCTCACATACTACAGTGTTCTTGGGAAGGTCAGAGGAAAAGTTGTGGTTGTTGGTTCTCTGCTACCGTGAGGGTTCTAGGGATTGAACTCAGCTAGTCAGGCTCTAGTAGAAGACATCTTCACCTGCTGAGCCATCTCACTGGGCCTCATTCTTCTTCACAGAATGTATACTTAGGACATGTTTTATTTGAAACTAAGTCCAATACTGTCACCCAGACTGGATTTGAACTTGGGGAAGGCCTTCTGCCTTAGCCTCTGGAGTGTTGCAACTGCAGGCTTGTTCCATAACACCTGTTCCACCATACCTGGCTTTACTTTTTCCCCAGTTCATCTGTTGATGGAACTCTAGGCTGGTTTTTGAGGCCCTGATTTAATTTTTGTAAGATATATTGTTACTTTTGTGTGTGTATGTGTGTATGCCTGTGACAGTGTACGCACATCATGTGTTCAGGCGCCCGAAGAAGTCAGAAGAGGGAATTGTATCACCTGGAACTGGAGTTACAGGCCGTTAATTGAGTTACCTGTGGGTTCTAAGAACTAAACTAAACAAACTTTCAAAAGAGACAAGACTTGGGCCTGTGGTGGCACTTGCTCCCCCTCCCCCCATCCTACTCCTAATCTAGTTCCTGCATCTCCTGGGAAAGCCATTCACAGTGGCGTCAGCAGCAAAGAAGAGAAAGCCCCATCTTTCCTGGTCAAATGAGTCATTCGCAGTTGACCAGAGGTTCATGGGTGGCAGGCACTGCTGGTCACAGTGTGTCACGCCACGCCACAGAGACCTCTGCTTTTCCAGTTTGCTGCTCTGTCACCTGTGACATGTTGACTTTTGCTCTGGTCTTATTTTTCTACCTTTTCCCCAAAAACCTGTCTCCTAGTGACAAGATTGCTATTGTTCCCCCAACAGACGGAGGGAAAAAGAGAGTAGGACAAAGGAGTATGTTGCTGGAATCTGCCCTCCTTTATTTGGGAAGCAAAATCTTTCCCAGAAGTTCTCCAGAAGACAGTTACTTGTATTTCATTGGCTAAACTCTGAATTCAGTATTCCCACTCTTTAAAGGCTAAATCATTCTTTTTAAGGAAGGAAGGGAGATGCTTAAACCAAAATCACAGAAGTAGTGTCTTAAGAGCTGAGAGGAGACAGAAAAGAAAGGGCAAAAGGAGGAAGACTTTTCCTCCCCAGCAAACATTTGGAAGCATTTTAAACATTTTTATTTATTAAATGTACTTACCATTGTTCTGTGTTGTTTGTGTGATGTATAGTAGCACACGTGCATACTGTGATCTGAGTGTGAAGCTGAGAGGACAGCTTTGTAGAGTTTCCTCCCATTATTACATGCGTTCAAGAGATTACCATTGTCAGGCTTGGCCAGCAAGTGCTTATCCATGGAGTCACCTCACCAGCCCTGAGAACTCTTCACTCTCTGATGTGTATTGTAACTATTTCATCCATCTTCTCAAGCCACTTTCAGAAAAAAAATCTGTATGGATTATTCAGGGGAAAAGATGAGTTGCTCTAGGTAAAGTTAGTGCCCATTTTGTACTTTCTACAGGAAGACCAAAGTTGAAAGTCATCCTGGGCTTCATAGAGACTGTCTTAAGAACAACAACAAAAGCAAGTTACATTTGGCTATATGAGTATAAAGTTCTTTGTACCTTGTTACCAAGTTAGCTACTGGGGCTAGGGATGTTGCTCTGTTGGCAGAGTACTTGCCTAGAATGTATGAGGCTTTATGTTTGATCCCCAGAACCACATAAACTCTGCCTGGCACATACTTGCAATCCTAGCACTCAGAAGGTAGAAGTGGGAAGATTAGAAGATCAAGACCAGCTTTGGAAACAGCAAGTTCAAAGCCAGTGTGGGCTACATGAGACCCTGCCTTGAAAAAAGTTACTGTTACTTTTTCCTTTTTTTGACATTTATTACTTGTGGAGGGAGGTGGCAAGACCATAGCATACATGTAGATGTCAGAGAACAGCTTGTAGGAGTTGCTTCTCTCCACCATGTGTCACAGGGATTTGACTCAGGTCATCAGGCAAACAACCTTACCTGCTGAGAGGTCTTACCTGGCGCTTACCAGTTTGGCTAGTCTAGCTAGCCAGCCTGACCTGGGGATCCCCTTGTCTCTGCCCTCAAAATGCTGGGATGACAAGTAGGTTCTGGGGACTCAAACTCTGGTCCTCAGTGCTTACTTACTTGGCAAGTGCATTATTCACTGAACCCTCTCCCCAGCTTCGTTAGTCCTAGGCACTACTATAGAGTGAAAGATATTTTTACAACTGGTAAGTGTACATTTTAGGCCTCCTCAAAACACCTTTTATCTACGAGCCTCAAAAGTTGTTCTTATTCAGAAAAACACACAGAAGGCATGCAAAAATAAAACCTCATATTGAAGCTGAACTTAATGACCTATAATTGAGACAGAATTGTCATTGGAGGGAATGGTCTCATGGGTGCCAGGATTTTGTCAAGGGGCTAAAGGACTATTTTAGTGTACATATAAGTTAAATACAAGTAGCCTTTGGGGGTCTGGACACAATCTCACACCTTATGCTCTCTCAGCTCTTGTGAAAGCACCACCAGTAGTAAAGATGGCAGTGCCACCACACCTGCTGTGCAGTGATATGTTACAAGGGAAAATGATTCTTGTCACCATTATCTTTACTCGCCCCTGGACAGAGCTCATTCTTCTCTTGATGAGGACCTGGAAAGGTTGCTGCAATCACCTGAGGAGAATTTGGCACTACTGGACACCCACAAGGACTCTACAAGGTTGCCTTGCCCATTAAGGAATCCGTTTCTTATGTTTCACAGGGAAAACAATATACAAGATGTTGTGCACCTAGGACATAGAATCCCAGACTCCCAGTTTCTTTCTTTTCCTGTTTTCAGGAAGTAGTTAGGTTTTTAACTTCTTGGAGAATGAATGTCCGGTGATGGCATTGTGCTGCTGTGGACCAGCCAGCCCTTATATTTGTCATTACTCTCACATTTGCCTGTCTTCCCACCATCTACTCCCCAAGACATTGATTAGGCGGCTAATCAGTTAGAGCTCTCAGGTTGGACTTTAGCCCTGTTGCCTTTAGTGTTTCATGAGCCATTTGAGTTAAATCAGAAAAGGCATATATATGTATGTGTGTATATATATATATATATATATATATATATATATATATATATATATATATATATATATATATATATATATATACATCAAGTTTTCAGATAACACAAATCTAGAAGTGAAGGCCAATGTTATGGGTGATAGACTGAAAATCCAAAATTATCCTGACAGGTGGAAATACTAGCTACTTTAAAAGAGAGACAAAGCCAGGCATAGCTGTTGCATGAAACTGTAGTTTCAGCTACTTAGAAGTCTGAGGGGAATGATTGAACCCAGAAGTTCAAGATCAGCCAAGAAACATAGGGCTATAATGTCACAAACAAACAAAACTATAACAATAAAAATGATAAACTTAAAAGATTGACAAGTTTTAGATCCAAAAGTATACATTGTGAAAAACCAGGACTAACTGGATAATTTTTTTATTGGAAATTATTGCTCACAGTAATCATGCTGTAGGCAGGAAGTCTTAATTCACACGTCCAGTATTTAGTTTCTGAAAAAGTTGACACAGCATTAATGCAGGATGAACCGATCAGACAAGTGCACCGTAGGTAATCATGCACTATTGAAGGACTCCTAGGACACATCTCTAAATGGATGTGAGCAAGCAACAGAGAGGACATGGAACAGGCTTAGGTCTGGAAACCAGGTCATATGAGAACAGCCAGGGAGACTCAGCCTGAAAAGAGCCGATGAGTGAAGAATTTGATAGCCTCCCTCAAATACCTGAAATACTGTAAAGTGAAGAGTCTGCTTACTGTCTTCTACCCCAAAGCATAGAACTGGTGTACTAGATGTTGCAAAGTAAAAGATTTTTATTAGTGAAGCACAAATTTTCTAATGGCCACAACCTATAGAAGAAACGGCCTTTCCATTTTAACAGTGGCTACAGCCGCTCAGGTTTTGTGAATAACTGTGGTCTTGGGTGTCTGGACACAAGGAGAAGAAAAACCTAAAGGCCCTTGCTGACTTTTTTTTTTTTTTTTTTTTTTTCTTTTGCCCACTCTTGAGCCTCTGATTACGTTAGTGAAGTTTAAAAGAGAAAAGTCCCCTTTTTATTCTAGGTACCATCCAAGAGAGGTAGCTGTTTCTGCTTTTAAGAGAAGTGTGGTTTTAAATTGTGAGATACTTATTTAGACTTCTCATATCACAGGGAGCCTGACAGAAATGATAAATAATAATCTCAAAGAGAATGCTGATTGTAAAAGAAGGAAAATGCTTTCTTTTTCCTTTGAGGCTAGCTATATAGTCTTAATGTTGAAAGCAGAGTCTGATTACATATGTTTTAGAACTTATTAGGTATCTAATTTTCTGTGCCTTGGTTTTCACATCACACAATGTAGATGGTAGCAGTAACTGCTTCATATAGTTCTGAAAATGAGTGCGTTAACATACATTTAAACTAGCCTTGTTGGGCATGTAACACATGCCTTTAATCCCAGCACTCTGGAGATAGAGGCATGAAGACCGCTGTGAGTTCAAGGCCAGCCTCCTTTGCCTAATGAAGTCTAGGCCCTTTAGGGCTACATAGGGAAATCCTGTCCAGAGAGACAGAGAGGATAAAAGATGAACAAATAACCAAAAGTAAATAAACCAACATTTGCCCTGTAGTTACACTAGTACTAAGTACTCTGTTTGCTTCAGAACAGTCTTGTTCCCTGACTCTTAGATATGCGTTTAATGCCACAAATCATTGTCATTACAGGGAAGAAAAAAACAAAGATCAAGACTTTGTTGAACTGAAGAGAAAAAGGAAAGAAAGCATCAAGCCAGAGAGAAGGAGATCAGACAGCTTTTTAGGTACTTTGGAAGAAGGTATGGATGAATGATGATTATGGTAGTTTGTAGTTCTTGGGCTTTGGTGACCATCAAAGCTTTTAAGTAATGTTTCCCAGATGCTATACATAATCTTCCAACCCGGTGTAATTGCCTTTTCCTTGCAGTTCAGATAAGCATTTCTGATAATTGCAATCAACTTAATCACAAAGCAGTGACATCAGCTTTGGGTTTTGTTGTTGTTGTTTTTTTTCCTCCTTCTTTTGTTTTTTGAAACAGGGTCTCATTCTAGCCCAGCTGGCCTCCAACTGAAAGCAGTTAGTTCTCTTACCTACCAGGTGCTATGATCGCAGTCATGAGCTAACACTCCTGGCTTTTCAGGTCTGTTTCTAAAACAAGCCATGGGCCAGCCCAATTTGTGCATTGTCTGTAGAGCTGTTTGAATTTAAATACATTTGAAAGAGCTTTTAACTTAAGCTGAGTGTGGTAACACATGCCTCTGTGCTCCGGAGGCTCAGCCATGTACTTCAAGGCCACCCAGGAAGACCTCTGTCTAAAGACAAAACAAAAACCAAGAGCTTCGAGACTGCCTTTAATCCCAGCACTCAGGAAGTAGAAGCAGGTGGATCTCTGAACTCAAGGTTAGCCTGGTCTACAAAAAGAGTTCCAGGACAGCAAGAGCTGTTACACAGAGAAATCCTGTCTCAAAAACAAAAACAAAGAAATAAAAACTATTCAAGTCTTGTCAGCTTGAATAGTCAGTCTTGTAATATATCTTTACAAATGATCTGTTCATGTTTATGTTACTCAGGGTGATAGATGCTCACATTTTGGAGTCTTCTAGTCTCCCTTGCATCCCTTTCTTAGTCCCTTCTCATTCTGCTTCCTCTGCCCTGTTTTATGCTTTATGCCTCAGTATGTTGACCCTAGAGGACTGCATCTCCTTGGCTTTCTGTTATTCAATGGGGCCCCTGGCAGGATCAGAGGGCAAGAAAATTGTTACTCATTTCCCTTTCCTACCTACTTGAGGACCTTGCATCCAGTAACCATGTTGTCCCTCACTAGTGTCTGGTCTTTCCTAACTCCAGTTCCCCCTTCTAGATGCCAGTAACTGTCCTCCCATCCCACCCCCAACTGCTTAGCTGCTTTCCACTTAGGCTTCCCCCAGGTGCAAATAGATGCCTGTTAGTCCTTGTTTGTTCCCGAAACTCTAATTATACCTTTGTGTACAGCTACTTTGTTAAGGAAACTTTATCTGTACAAGCTATGTGTATACTTTATTTCCTCCAGAACTCTGACTGGCATAGGGCCCAGGGTATATGGACATTTAGCCAAGACTGAATTCACTGAGAAGATAACTCAGAGAATTTGGCAAGGTAATGCAGGAACTTTTGAATCAGTGTCACTGGTACTTCTTGCTATGGCAGGGAGCTATAGGATGTTAGGAGAAGCTGTTAGCTGTGTTTCCAGAAAAGTTGTATATAAGCGTACAACAAATAAGTAAACAGCACACTAAGACTAGAGATAGCTCTAATCTGAATACTGAATTCTGACAGCCCTTGATCTGGAAAGTAACTGCCTTTTTTTTTTTTTCTTCCTCTTGTTCCATCAAGATGAACTAAAACCCTGTGTTTGGAAGCGACTGGGTTGGTCCGAACCTTCCAGGTAATGAAATAGCATGTTTATAAGTCAGAGTTTGTTTTTTTTTAGATTTCGTGAGCAGACTTAAAATATTTACCAGTGTCTAAATAAATATCACTAACAGATTGAATTCTCACCAACCTGCTCAATTTATAGTTATATATCTATAATTGAAAATATATATAAGGTGACGTTAATGCTAACTTTGCTTAAATAACTGGTATCTACTCAAGGAAAGTTTTCATAAATGGGTATAAAACATGCTGCTGCTTTCAGTTGCTTTTTAGTCACTTTGCACTTTTATGATACATTGTTGATACTATCTGCCTTGATTATACAGACAAAATTCCTTTCCTGTGACTTCAGTTGAATAGGAAAGTGTGTGTATGTGTGTATGTGTGTTCTAAATACATACTGGGTTTAGGAAATTAGCTTAGTGCCAGAATGCCTGCCTGGTTTGTGTGAGTCCGGGGATGTGATCCCAAGCACTGCACAAGAATTTTTAAAAGTACATATGAACTCAAAACTTCCCCTTTTTTTTTTGTCCTTTAAAATATATGCACACAGGATAATTGTGCTGGATCAGAGCGACTTGTCAGAATGATTGGAACTGGATCGTGCAGGCTCTGTGGCTTGTGGCCTCCTTCCTTCTTTTATCTGCTTCAGTTGGCTCAAGGACAGTGGTTCCAGTCTGTAACTCACACTTTGTTCTGCTGCTACCATGGGCACAATAATGTGGCCCTATCATGTGTAGCATGCCTAATCATTTGTTTTAAATAAGGTTTCTGAAAAATGCAAGGTAACCATAATGACAAACATTTTGTTTTGTTCAGAATGGCTTTTGATTTTATTGATGTAACTTTGTTATACAATAAAGTGTTTACTTTTAATGCTAGTTAGGTGCCTGTTGTGGACGATCTATTTCTATGCTTTGGTTTGGGGGTTGGGAAGATGACTGCATTTCCCTTCCAGCTAGATCCAGCTTGCTAGGAGACAGCAACAAAACCCTAATATATATATATATATATATATATATATATATATATATATATATATATATATATATATATATATATATAACACCATCTCTACGTATTTTGATTGTGCACCTTACATCATCAGTGTACTAGAAGAACAGAACTGTGACAAAACTAAAATCACAACATTTTCTCTCATTTAGGCTTTTTGTGACTATTAGCCAGGTGCATATGTGTATCTAGTCTGGGGTCTAAAGGATTTGTGTCCATGTAGAATTTTCACATATGATTAATAGCTTTTCTTGGAAGCACTACACTGCTGAGCAGTACTAGCATTTGATTTTGTGGTGGGTAGTAGTGAAAATCAAATAGCTTCCATTGTGGATGATCACATTCATACATTTTAGATCACAGAAAAATTTATCCTGCACAGATAAGATAGGAAGCAAAAAAAAAAAAAAATTACTTGCTATTGTAACCAGAGGAAAACAATCAGAAAACAAGTTACCTGGAGGTGTGGTAGGTCATGAATGACATAATCCTTTCGCTTGGGAGGCTGACTCAGGAGGATTGCCCTGATTGAAGGACAGTTTGGGATACAGTGTGAGACCCTTCCTAAAGAGAGCAAACAACAGGGGCCTGCAAGATGGCTCAGTGTGTAGAGACACTTGTCATCGAGTCTTGCAGTCTGAGTTGGATCACCAAGACCTGCATGGAGAGAGCTGACTTTCAGAAGTTGTTCTCTGATCTTCCTCCACACATACACAATGAATAAAGAAATAGAATAAAAATTTAAAAAGCAAGCAACAAAGCAAAACCACTCCAAGCTTCCATTCCACGTGAGTGTAGACTTTATGGTACAGTCTTCTCAGAAGCTCACTCTTGTTGGTGAGACAAATACATGTAAGAAGATGGAGACCAGTGCAGGTGCTGCATGGGAAGTGCTGGCTTGTTTAGTTCCAGCCATCGATTCGTAAGCATTAAGGTTACGCTGATATCTGATGACAAGAACTTTAATCTAGGCCAGGTATGGTGGGACACGCCTTTAATCCCAGCTCAAGGAGGCAGAGGCAGGAGGATCTCTCTGAGTTCAATGCCAACTTGGTCTACAGAGTGAGTTCCAGGACAGCCAGGACTATATAGAGTGACCCTTTCTCCAAAGAGGAAGAAAAAAAATTGTACTCTACCTAGGGAATAGATTCCTTTCTCTGGCCAGTGACTGATGGTTATGATGTTGTAGAGAGCACTTACTGGTCATAGAGTAACCATTGTGTACCAGGGCCTGTAGACAGACATTTTATTGCATGTGGCAGCCCTCCCACATGCAAGCTCTAGGTGCTGCTTCTATCACTCTCGTCAGTTGTTTCAGGCTTCAGCCCCTCATTTCCAGTTGACACTCAACAAATTACTCTCACATCTAGCTTTTCAAAGAGAACATAGCCTTCACCACTACTGATAATATGGTCACCTCCATTTGTGTAGAAGAACAGATGAGTGCATTCTGAGTTCTTATTTTTTCCCACTGTCTTTTATCCCGTCCATTCAGTTTACCTTCTTAAGGAACATTTTTCTTTTTAGCAACTTCAACTTCTCCTTTATACACACTTACATAGCAGTGCACGCCAGTGTGTGCACGCTTGCATTTGTTTGCAGATGTGAAAGCGCAGGTGTGGAGGCCCAAGGTTGATATCCGAAGGCTTTCTTAATTGCCGTCTGCCTTATTCCTTGAAGCAGCATCTCTCACTTGAACCCAGAGCTCACTGATGTGGCTACTCTGGCTTGCTCCTGGCATCCCATCTCTGTCTTCATGCGCTAGAACTATAGGTGGAACACCATTCCCATCTAGTCCCCATGACTGTGCATTCAGTGCTTTAATCCCTGAGCCATCTCCCTGTTTCCAGACTTCCTTCTTTATTCATTTCTTTCCACAAGCATTGACACAAAGAGTTTCTTAGCTTTAAAAATCCTTCCCTGAGCTGGGCCTGGTGGTATGCTACATGCTTGTACTCTCAGCACTCAGGAATCAAAGTCTGGAAGATTGCAAATTGGAAGCCAAAGTGGATTACAGAATGAGTGCAAAACCAGTCTGACTACAAAAAGCAACCAAACAATTTACAGAGAAGGTTCCGCAGTAAGAACGTGCTGCTCTTTCAGAAGTCTGGAGTTCAGTTCCTAGCACCAACTTCAGGCAGCTCACAACTGTCTATGACAACAGCTCCTTTTTCTGGCCGCCGCAGGCACCCAAATACTTGCCATGCACACATATAATATAAATCTGAAAAATATACAGCTGGGATGCAAAGTTAATAAACTAACTAATATTAAAAATATAATAATAATAAAATAATTATATTGGAGATTAAGGTAAAAGAAAAATAATAAATGGTGGTGCACACCTTTAATCTCTGAATTTATGAGGCAGAGGCAGGTGGGTCTCTGTGAGTTCAAGGTCAGCCTAGTTTACAAAGTAAGTTCCAGGCCAGCTAGGGCTATATAGTGATAAACCCTGTGTAAAAAAAAAAAAAAAAAAAAAAATTCCTCAAACAAAAACAGTAACAAAATTTAAAACAAAAAGAAAACAGGTAGCAGAGTATTACCTCGTGTGTTAGGCCAGGGTTCAGTCCTCAGCACTACCTAAAACAACAAGTCCTGGATCCCAACCGTCTTTCCAGCCACTAAACTACTGTTCTCCCATTGCAGTTCTTGACACCCTACACTTGGTATCTTTGGTGCCTCACCTCCCTCTCTCCTCAGCGTACTAGAATGTGAGTCCCAGTTTCATTTCTCAGCAGTTACTCAGGTCATCAGTAAACCAAAACCACACAGTTACTTTTGCCCCGTGTTAATTTTTCTCTTCACCTGTATCCTCAGTTTCACTGATGCTATTCTCTTGGGTTTTCTTCTGTCTCTTTGATTATTCCACCTCCAGCTTTTTTCTGAATGTTCTTCCTAAATGATTGTGATGGTTTGAATGAGAATAGCTTCCAGAGGGAGCTTCATCCCCAGTTGTTTGGAAGGATTAGGAGGTGTGGCCCTGTAGTAGGTGTACCACTGGGGTGAGTTTTCAAAAGCCCATGCCCAGCCCAGGTCTCCCCACCTACCCCATGAGACTCAAACCTCTCGGTGCCATGCCTGTCTGCTTCCTGCCATGGTGATTGTGGACAAGCCCTCTGGAATTGTAAGTAAGCTGCCAGTTAAATGCTTTAAGAGTTGTCTTGCTCATAGTGTCTCTTTACAGCAATAGAGCAGTGACTAAGACAGTGACCAAGTTTACTTTCATGGCTTCAGTCCTAGTGTATGATCCCAGATCTGTATCCCAGATCTCATCTGAGTCACATTCAGCATCTCCTCTTGGATTTCTTTCAGTACTCACTGAAACAGCCAATATTGAACTCACAGTCTTAGTGTCTTAGTTAGGGTTTCATTGCAACCAAGGCAACTCTTATGAAGGCAAAATTTTAATTGGGTCTGGCTTACAGTTCCAGAGGTTTAGCCATTAACAGCATGGCGGGAGACATGGCAGCATGCAGGCAGACATGGTGCTGGGGAAGAAGCTGTGAGTTCCACATCTTGATCTGCAGGCAGCAGAAGACTGTGTTCCATACTGGGCAGAGTTTGAGGATGGGAGACCTCAGAGCCTGCCCCTACAGTGACACTTCCTCCAACAAGGCCACACCTCCCAATAGTACCACTCCCCATGGGCTGAGCCGCCAGACACGTGAGTCTGTGGAGGCCAAACCTATTCAAACCACCATACTTGGTCTCCTTTGCCTTTAGCGTTCCCCCTTCGGTAGTATTAGTGTCCCATTATCCACTCAAGTCAGAGACCCAGAAGCTGTCCTTGACCTCCATTTACATTAGATTTTATTATGTATGCAGTGTTCTGCCTGTATGTACACCTACCCGCTAGAAGAGGGCACCAGATCTCATTATAGATGGTCGTAAACCACCATGTGGTTGCCAGAAATTGAGCTCAGGACCTCTGGAAAAGCAGACAGTGCTCTTAACCTCTGAGCCATCTCTCCAGCCCCCAGATTCACAACCTTAACTCCTTACATCTAAAAAGAATCATGAGCCCTGGATATGGTGGCGCACGTACTGGGGAAACAGAGGCAGGCAGATCCTGTGAGTTTTTGGCCAGCCTGTCCTACCAAGTGAGTCCAGGACAGCCAGGGCTACACAGAGAAACCTTGTCAAGGGGGAAAAAAATCGGTAAAGATTTTGTTTCAATCTGGCCATGGAGACACGGGATTATAATCTCAGCACCTGGAGGCTGAGGCAGGAAATTACCTAGAGTTCTGAGGCCAGTCTGGACTGTAGAGAAGACAACAACGACGACAGAACAGCAAAGACCTCCTCCCCGCCAGACAAACAAAAAACTTTAATCTCCAAAATACATGTTCCTCGTTTTGATTTCTCACTTTTTTGTTGCCACTGCCCCTGTCCATGTTGTGACAGCGTTCTCCAGTGGCCTCTTCCATCCAGTGTGGTCTGATTTAAGGCTGGCCTTGAACTTCTGACCCTCCTGAATCTGTCTTTCAAGAGCTGGAATTACAGGTACTTGACACCACCCCTGCCTCACAAATCTTTGTAGTAACTCGTGTATCCCGTTCACTGCTCTAGGCCTTCAAGCAGTGGTGAGACAAGCAGAGCCTGCCGTTCTGTAGTTTACGTAGATATTCAGTGACCAAATGGCATTAACGGTAAATTCTGTGGTGACAGTAGATAGGTTAAAATGGTATTAGTTGCATCTGGATGTTAAGAGGCAACTTAATGTGGATGGAGTGATGATGGCTCAGTAGTTAAGAGCACTCACTGCTCTTCTGAATGGTCCTGAGTTCAATTCC